TGTGAGAAATATAACATCTCAAACATCTACTAAGCCTACAGATAGACCATCTTAGATCGGTTTCTTGCCGAGAGCTCTGGAGTCATTTGCACACTTAACCAACAAGGTCTTTCCACCCTTTTCTAGATTAGTGTGATAGTGAATTCCCATAATAGAACACCTGCTCACTGTGTGGCTTGTCCATTGGTAAATATTTAAAAGTCATAAATAGAGCACAGTGCATTCCAGTGATATGAGCAAGCAGAATTGGCTCATTCTTTCCTATCCTTGTTGAAAGTGCTCTTGCTCAGTCTGTCTTTGTGGTGATCCATTGGGACAAAACATCCATTGTTTTTAAATAATGGGTATAAGTTGTTAAGGCATTTCAACTTTTAATTTGTTGGGCAATTAGAATTAGCAAGTGTTAAGATAAGGGACAATGAGATTCTTCTTACTCGGAAATATTTATTATATCACAGAATAAACTGTCGTAGATGCAATTCAAAATCTGAGAAGAATGCTCAAGTGATTTCCTATGTGAATCCTGAGATATAATTACTGGTTTATAATGTCATCGGAAGGAATGGGATTTACTGTCTTGAACTCTTTCTCACCTGATTTTCAGAATTAGGAGCAGAGTTTCTCAATATCCCTAGTCAGAGTAAAACTGTTCTAATCGTAATCCTTATGGGTGAGATAAATTTCTGCAGAATTAGCCAGTCTCAGCTGCAGAAAATGGACACTTCAGTTGGCATAATAATTCTTAAGCTAGGGGAGAATCTCAACTGAATTTCCAATTTTCATCTGATGATCCAGTAGACGTGTGGAGAACAGGATTTTGTTTCACTGTGATGCTCTTATTCATAATATGCTTTAAATATATTGTCTACACTCATACCCACATGAAGAGTTACCACTGAGGCGAGGGAATGGACCCATAGCTTAGTGTGAGTCACTGCCTGTAGGAGTCATAAGGGAAAACAACAGTTGGGTCATGTACTGACCAGGTAGGAGTGATAGTTATCCCCACCTTATCAAATGTTTTTCCAGCAATCAACACATGCATCTGAACAGCATCCGAGAGATGTATATTGTTATGAAAGGAATACCTTCTGCGAATGAAGCCTGTGTGTTCACAATAAAGCAAAACTAGTTTTTATTTGGGGGTTGTTGGGTAGTTTTTAAATAAATCTGCTTACATTATTTTTGTCTGCAGTATCTTTTGGTGAGCCATTCGGTCAGAGTAGTTGTTATGCAGGACTTTTAACAATAGTTACATATTCACAGGTTATCATGTGCTCATGGTTTTTCTCACTTCAAGTCCAAAAGAGACATTTTTTAAGAGTAAAAAAACTTTTATTAATAGATTAATTAAAGCTGCCAGCCAACACAATTGCAAGAAGGGAGCCATAGCATAAGATTTGAGCTTCAATAACCTTATTTAGTAAAACCCCCCCAATGATGACTCTATCATTTGGGTATGTCTGTCTTAAATCATTGAATTTATCTGGCACCACACTTAATTCTTTCCATCCATATTTTCTGTGGAATTTGTTCCTTCCAGAAATGTGTTTATTAGCCCAAACAGAGAACATTCTTTTGTTTAATAGTTCTGTTTTTTTTATTAAATTGTAGTTGAAGTAAGTACTTCATAACAATGTAGTATCATTAAATTCCCAGGGAATTCAATTGGTTGAGGATTAGATTTGGGGCAAGAATCTTCAAGGTTTGAATCTCAGTGGGTCCATTCAGCCCTTCAACCTTTTGAGCTCTTTAAAATGAATGCCAGACCCAGAAAAAAAACCTCATTAGAGTTAGGCACTGAGCATGGGACTCCCTGGGTGAACTGGCTTTAAGCAGACATTCCTGAATAGGTATGTAGTGATTTGTTTTATTGTTGGTTGTTCACCACATTGTCTCTCTTTCATGAACCTTACCCTGCAAACTGGAAAGGTGGTCCTAGTTTGTCAAATACAATGCTACACAGTTACTTTTATTTATTACTGGATCAAGCACAATAGGGAACTTTCTATGCTAATAAAATGAATGTCAGCAGAACTTGAAAATCCATCCCTGTGGAAATAGTGACTAATAAACCTGAATAACTGCAGTAACAATGCAGAACTCAATTTGATGCATTAGTTATATTTTGCAGGTATTGGAAAGGGAGAAAGAGCAGAACTGACGATTGAAAATTGCAAAAACAAACATGTGGGATTTTATTGACTTGCAATCCCTCAAATACAGTTTGTCAAACTTAAGTGGCTCTCAGCATTCATTTGAAAAAACCTTACATTGGTTGATCTACAGATATTGCATAAAATACAGTTCTAAATACACAGGACCAAACTCATTGTATGTCGGTGGTAGGATTAGAGCCTTTTCTGTTGAATTTAAAGGCAAGTTGTGCGCATGAAAACCTACTTTATGAACTGGGCGGGGACAGTTTCTGATCTCAGTCATGCTTACCTTGCTGCACTGGGGAGATGCTATCTTGCTGGTAGAGGCACATTTTTAAACCAACATTCAATTCTGTACAAATTCTGAATTTCTTTCTCTGCTTTCCTTCTGGTCTGCATATTGTTCAGATCATGGATGAATGGAGGGATAAACAAAGTAGTGAGTAGCCAGTTTCTACTGTCCATTTCACCAGAATGCTATACAAGTCTTATCTCATGATTCAGCAGCACAAATTATTCAACTGAAAAGCATCAAAAGTCTTTCCTGTTTAGAATTACTGAGTCTAGCTGGAACACTTTGCAGGATTAGCATTCTTGCTCCTCAACACACAAAGAATGAAGGTATGTGGGATGTAACGGAGGGTGACATCCCTATGAAACCAGGTGTCTGTACGAGTTCCCTCCCTCAGGAGGAGGAGAGAAAATGGGAGGGATGGAAAGGCAGAATATGAATGATGGGTTAATGAGTGTTGGATACAGAAAAATACACTGAGCTTTTCCACTGCAATGTGCCATAAAGTCGTGTAATGTAGGTCATAAGTAATAAGCTTGCATAATATGCTTCTGATCTTAGTTGCACTGTCAGGAACACACAGAGCTGACAGCAGATGATTTCCCACAGGAAAGAAAACAAAATTTGGAGGAAAGCCAACAGTGGTTTCTTTTAAATACCATCTGACCGCTGTCTCGAGAACCATATTGGCCAGAGGCCTGGGTGCAGGTCATCTGCCTGCCCCTTCTGTTGAAAATAGTATGTTAGACACAGCTGAAGTAAAAAGAACATTTCAATTGTAAGGAAGTTAGAATTTGCATTGTTTTAAGGATTTTATACAATGAAAAATTCTCAAAGTGCTTTCCAGTAATTACTTTCCAGTAATTAAGTGATAATTACTTTAAAGCATTTAAAGCATTTGGAGGCTTTGTTAAGAAGGACACATTAAGCAAATCCAGAAGACTCTCCTTATTTCTTTTTTTTAATTTTGTGGTGACATCAGATTCCAGATCTGCCTAGTCTTTCCGCTCCCACACAGACCCTTAAAACAAAAAGAACAAATGTTTGTGGGTTGTGTGAATAAAGGGAATGTGTTCCATATGTGATTCTGCAAATGTTAACTTCCCCTTCCTTCTTGTCTTAAACACAGTAAAAGCCATAATAGGAATGTTTAAGAAAAGGACCAGACTAACAAGATTGCTTAGTTTATTTAGGCAGCCATGCAGCAAGTATTTCATGGCCTTTTATTTAGGTTTATTGTTTTATTACAATCTCCCCCCACCCACCACCCGAGCACTTCCTCCGCAACTTGTGTTGCCTGTGTGCATCAGTAATGTCAGCAAGCCAGATGTTGATGCTGTGTGGGAACTGAATCAGGCTCAGTATGACACGTGAGAACTGCTCTTTTAGACTACTAATTCGATACAATCCTTTAAAAATTGCACTATTTTTTCCCGTTTGATTTAATTAATAGCTGTTAAAAAGCTGACTCATTTATTGTGTGGTTTGATTTCTTGTTTCCTTCTCTATATATAGTTGGAATACATTAACCTCTTTGCTGTTGCAAACTTTAGGGTGCCACAGTCCTCTTGGTTGTGCTTCATTGATCTGTACATTGATCTGTAATTTTGCATCAAGTAGTCACATGGAGCACTCTCTGCTGATAGTTTCACTGGGGATAAAACTCATTCAACTTCATCAAAATATCTTAGATGGTGTTCATTTCAATACAATTTCTATGTACAAGTAATAGTTAATTCCACCGCCCACAGTTTATCAGCGTGGTGCAACTTATGAACTCTTTCCCATGGTCTGCTTTCATAGTTGTGAACACTACAGATATTTAATGAGATAATAATTTCTCATATCTTATATCCCATACCTCAGAAATATACCATTCTGAGTTTCTTTGCATGAATGAATCCAGATGTGTGTTCCTTCAGGCCCGCATGTTAGAATGTAAATTGTGATCTGTAAGAACCAGATTTAACAGCTGACATTTTTTCCCCATCCTTATCTCCCCTCCTGAAAGGATTTTGACTTTTATTCTCCTTTTTTGAGCAGAAAGTTCAAAGTGCATTGGGTGTCCTCTGGTACTTTGCCAAGTGGTCATTGCTCGTGAGTCTTGGTACTGAGTTTCAGTGAACTATTCCAGGGCAGGGCAGAAATTGCTGCCAAACCAAATGTAGCGCCCCAAATTGTCATCAAGACTGTAAACCAGCCTGTTGCTAAACTAACTGATTTGGCATGGTTACAGGACTTTACACATTTAATCCACTCTTTCAGATCCTTTTCAATAGACGAATGCTGACAATCAGACAGTGTTGTGATAACAACAAAAATGCTGAAATGTAACTTTGGTCTTTCATTGATTCTGGTCAGTTAGGTTGTCCAGTGCATGGAGAGAAATACCAATCAAACTGGATTGGATTATTTGTACTATTTTTATGATGATGTAAAAGAATCTTGAATTGTTTAAAAAAAATTAGATTTTTAGTCTATAAATCAGTTGATTCTGTCGCTGTGCACTCTTTAATGGGACTTGACTTTTTTTAAAAAATCTTCTTCAGAATGATGGATGGACTCATGTCACACACAGCATTGCCTCCCCTTTTTGCTGATGATGATGTATCGAAGGAGAGCGCCGATTTGACAGTCGAAGCAGGGTATGTTTATATACTTTTGCCCAAAGGTCACTGATTTCATTATTGCACTGTAATTAATTCATTCACACCTAAGTGAACACAAGCATCTGGAAGTTAATTGGGTAAAATGTCTCCTCCATTTTCAATCTGGCATCATTACGATACCTTTTAATGCAATACCATATAAATTACACAGTTCATCAAGGATGTCCTTTCCTTTCAGAGGACAGCAAAGATACCCACTGTTTAAAAATGCTATTCACTTCAGAAAAGTTTAAAATAAATTGAAGATGCAGTAAAAATTGCTAAATCACATGGTATGTATTGGTGTACCAAACTGAGAATGAGTGATTCACTTGCATATCATAGTGACTTTAAGGTCAGGTGTTGCAAAGCACTTCATAGCATTTATTGGTGCATTTTTGGTAGTAAACACAATAATAAATTTATGCCTAGCAACGTCCCACACACTGTCATGATGTAAATGACCAATTAAAGAATTATTGGCAAGGAAAGTGCATTAAAAGTGCCTGACTCGATTTGTTTCTTCCCAAATGGCTCAGTGAATATTGGCACCATATATGAACTGAACTATACAAATAGTTTGGAGTGGGAGCTTTCTTACAGTTTCTGTTATGTATGTGCCCACAGTGAAAGCTACCTTAACTTCTACCACTCTCATACTTGTCATTGGAACAAATGAACTATTTTTTAGTTAGGCAGCATAATGGCACAAAGCTCCAGAACTTCACATGTGCTGATATGTATTTAATCACCACATGGCTGAGTTCCAGTTTTCATGGACAAAGAACTCAGCCATAACAATCCTCCTGGGTAGTCTCCTTGGAGTTGAATTTGTTCCACAGTACTCCAAGGCATTGCTGCTTGCCTTGTTCATCAATAAGTCTTAGCAGTGTAGACATGTCCTCAATCCTACACGTCAAAGGTAGGAAAGTCTAACTGGTCCAGTGTCATGAAAGGTACCATTGCTTGGTAATGGTAAACTGCATAGTTATTACTAAATGTGCCACAGAAATCACATTACAGTCATGTTAACGTCTGATTTATTTTGATGCAGAAAAATAACCTGAAAGATATAATCTTACTGTAAAATGTTTACACCTGTGGAACAATAATTTATTATTAGCTGCAGTTGTTGCCAGCAGTGGCTGGATGTGTAGATGATATTTGTTACAAGATATTCATTGTGGTCGTAATCCTGCAGGACTCAGTAAAAAAAATATACAGGCCTCTGTCTGTTAACGTGTCTGTTATATGCAAGTGCTAAGCTTAGATCATTTTTGGACAAAGAGCTTTTAAAAACTTTTTTTCTTTTGATACAGCTTTTCGGGCCCAGAAGGCTCATACAGTTCTGGGGTCTCCCAATCCCTGAACAATCCTGAGTTTGTGGAGGATCTGTCCCAGGTGCAGCTACTGCAGAATGAATTGCCTCAGGCAGCAGATAGTAATGAGCAAAGAAGTGAGGAGGAGGTGAGTGGTAGCCATCTGCATACATCCCTCGCAGTCACATGGACAGTCCAGGCAGTGTTCTTTCTCCCAGGCACAAACTACCATATGTTTCTCATGTAGAATTCCAATATTTAATAGGCTCATTTTGCTGTTTTTCAGTTGATTAATCAGGACTAAATAAAGTTGATCCTTTTGTGAAACCAAGGGTGAGTGTGTAACATATTGGGAAGGGGTAAATGTAAATTACAAAGAAACGATTCAATCGTTATGAGGAGGCAGGATAAAAACATGTGAATAAAAAGGGTTGGAGAGCAGGTGGAACATTAAAAGATGAACTGGGTGTTTCAGATGAACCACGTGCCAGTAAGGATCAGAAAAGGTTTTCTCTGTGCTTATTTCTGCAAAGTGTTTTTTTAATTATTTGTAAATATTTTGCCTTCAATTTTCTGCGAAGTTCTTTTTGTGCCACCGTTCCCCTTCTTTCCTGAAGGCATTTGACTCCCTTTTTCCTTCAAAGTGGGAAGTATTTCACTGACTTTGTAATCCCTCTTGTATCTCACTATCTTTCTATTGCTGATAGTAGGGTATTTTACCACGGGCAACATCACAGCTGAGCTCGACATTTACACATCCACTTTCTGTCAGGGTTAATTCACCACAGATCGGGATTAAACCTGCAAATTTCTATCAGGCTATGAGAGGAGCTGAGCATATCAAGCACTGTCTTGCACTAAATATTTAATTGAAGGTTTCTTTGTAAGTGTTAGAGCAATCCAACTAGCCTGACATCTCAGTTCCAATAGGGGATTTTTCAGTTTTATAGTGTTACCTGAATTGATTTTGTTAAATAACAAACGGTTACTGTCCATGGACGCTCACATTCCCAAGAGCTACTGTCAAGTCAAGAGTTAATGGTTAATTCTAATTGCTTGGATATTATAACATGGTAATCATTACAAGTACAAGGGCTTTCTGTACTGACAGAGATTGACCAGGTGCAGTGTTCTACTCTGAGGAGTTCTGCATCCTTAGCTACAGCTGTAACTACATAAATCTTGGCATGCTACAAGCAGTGCAGGACATGATAGTGACTATACATCTGATAGAGACCGATTTAGAGCCGGACACAGCAATACAATGCCTCCCTGCGGAGGCTTGAGAGCAACTAAAGGAGATCACTGCCACAGTGTAAAGTCAACTCTATTGCCACTTTGAAAAGGGTTGGATTAAAGGGGTGGAGATATGGGTGGTGCAGTGAGACAGAACACTGTTCTTTCATCTTCTGATGTGAGTTTGAATGCAATACAAACTGATGAGATTAAAGTCTTCTCTCGGTAACACCATGAATGAAACAATCACTCCCTAACCACATCCTAATGACCGTAGTTTCATGGCACAAAACTGTCCCCAGCTGTGGTTAAAGCAAGTGCAAGGGATTGTGCAGGGAGTTATGGAAATCCCATTATAAGGACCTAATGTTATGTTTAAACGTTAATTAGTATGTTTAGCAATAAACGCAAGTTAAACCCTAATGGATTCTATAAGAGAACAAGCACTTCTTAGCATGAACACCCCTCACTGTAATACATATAATGTATATTATAATTATTCTTGCATTTGATATAAGGCAGTATCACATTAACGCTTCAAAGACCTTCAGAGTTTTTTGTAGTGTATTTATAGGCAAACACAGAAGCCAATTGTCCGCAGCAGTGTCCCAGAAACAGCCTTCAAATGAGTGAATAATTTCATCTGGAGGTTTATTGGCCAGGTGACAGGGAGAAACTCCCTCCTCTATGTACTGTATAATGTCAATTCCCACACGTATTAGTGTTATAAAATGTGGCTATCCTGAATATTAAAGCAAAGTATAAAATATCCATCAATCACACCACATAATATCCTTTGTGTTTCACCAAGGTGCTGAAAAAATGCTGGGAGGTTGACCAATAGGTTGGTGATTGTGTGCTCAGCAGGCCACCCACATGCTCAAAGAATGGAAGTGCTTCCAATTTAAAAAAAACTCCTAGTCTCCAGGTGGTCTCTACACATGTAGTTCTTTACGACTTGCTCCCAGGACCATTTGGAAAAACCATATGTCTAACTTTGTGATGTAGGGATCCTTAAGGTCCTTGTCAATGTAATCCTCACAGGGTTACATTTATATTTTCTTTTGCTTTGATCACAAAGAAATCTTCAGCAATGTCTTGGAAACACTAATGAGATAATCAATCAACAACAGCAAATTACATTTGTATAGCACCTTTCACGTCAGGAGGATGTCCCAAGATACTGGACAGTCAGCGATTTGGACCTGATCTGGAGGGTAGGGGTAGGAAGGTGACTGAGACTGCAATCGAATAGGAGGGTCTTGAGACATGCCTTGAAGGAGACAAGGGAGGGATCAAGGCAAAGGGACTGTGGGATGTCAATTAATTAGAATTTGGTGGTGAATTCGGTCGAGAGAATCCACAATGGAATCCCTTTGTATTCCCTGGCTTCTGAAAATGATGCTCCCAAATCTATTTGGAACCCTTTTTTTTTGGAATATTGTCTCCTTCGTGGTCATTTGAAGATTGCCAGCTGGCTTAGTTGATACTAGGGTGATCACTGCTGAGGGAGCCAGTCTGATATGTGATCTTAATGGGTTCTGTGTAGAGTCTCCACAGCAGGAAGGAGCAGTGCTGCACATTTGTGACAATGTGCAATGTAAGCATTTTGTTTGTTATCGCATAAGGCACCCCTTTGTGTTAACATGGACAGCATGTTCATTTCTCTTCCTGGCTATCGCTAACGTCTGGGGGATAATTTTTTTTGCTGCAGGCTTAAAATATCCATTGCTGTGCATGACGTGAAACTTGTCTCTGGTGTTGTATTCCGATGTAGTTCATGTGTTGTGTAAGAGAAAAATTTAAAAACTCTACCCGACATAGATACAATAGTGAATCCTAAATGGATGTACAGTGAACTCTTGATAATCTGACTCTGGCTTAACTTGTTACCACCACTTAAGTCATAATGCTATCAGTCTCCCGGATTGAGAGATTTATTATATGTCTAAATCGCAATTCCTGGTAACTTGTCACTGAGCCCTTTTCCCTTAAAGTGACTAGTTATCAGGAGTTTAGAGTATATAAAAAGATTATTGGGATCTAAAAATCTTCTTTAAATTACTTGTGTTTATTACTATTTTTGTCCCTCAGCAATTTTCTCCTATCCACCTCTCCCCTAAAGCCATTAAATATTTGTTTTGTACTGTGATACAGTTCCACAAGATCTGGGGACTCTCCATAAGCCGCGGCAGTTGAGGAGTGTAACTAAGCCAGATTCTGTACTCCCAAGTCTCCACGCATGCTCAATTCCTGTAATACCTGCTAGGTAGCAATGAGAAGGGAGAAACCTTTATTTTGTTCCCCAAAACCTGGGATGCTGAGGTCCTTAGTGTTAAACTGTGGAGTCCTGTAGCTCAGTGGTTAGAGCACTCGCCTCACAAACGAGAAACCTGGGTTTGATTCCCGGCAGGATGAAACCTTGAGCAAGTTTCCTTACTCCACACGCCTGATAATAATCCGTCAAGAAAAAAAACCAATAATAAATTGGTTACTTCAATCCACGACTGTTTGTGGGACACTGCTGTGCGCAATTGGCTGCTGCGTTTCGCCCACAGATATACAGTCAATTCACTTTACAGTATATTCTGTGAAGCACTTTGAGACATGTAGAAGATGTGAAAAGCGCTATATCAAAATGCAAAGATTATTATTAAACTGAAAAAGAAGATTCTTCAACTGTCAAATGTTCAAATATCAATGTCTGAAAACACAGGTAACAGCTTCCAACTTTTTGTCTATAAAACTTCTTTTCGTTTCCAGATTCTATTAGCAAAAACCATATCTACCTCTGAAATGGATCTCACTCCAGAGCTCATTTTGCTCTCATAATTCCAACTGAATATATAAAACAAAGGCTTAGTACTACTGCTTAGTAGCAGTGCGGCAGCTGCAATAAACCTCTCATAAGGATTTGAATGTTTATGGCAGTGGCTCTCAATGCAAAAAAAGCTATCTAACACTGGTCTCTGCATAAAACTGACTCGTTCGTATAGATCAGGTCCCAGGTTCAATATCTATTCAGTGCTGAGTTAACTGAATTCCACAGTGGCAGCAGTAAGGGGGAGGTAGGTAGTACAATTGGCCCTGGGCTAGGGAGGGTAGAATCTGAGCCAGGATTCCAGTTTCTGATCATATACCCAGTGAACCCTACCAGAAAGTGCATGTATATGTATGGCTGTTGGCTGGGGTCAAGATCATACTGTTCTATTGCTCTTTGTGGTGTGACATCGGAGTTATAAATAAATTAACTGGAAGTGAAGATTTTCTGCTGCGCTCTGTGTTTAACGTGATGAATTTTTTTTTCATGTAATTAATTAGAAAATTGGTAAGAAAGGGGGCTGGCCCAAAGGACGGAAAAGAAAAAAAATTGCCAAGGACAGTAATGCACCAAAAGCTCCACTCACAGGTTACGTGAGGTTTCTGAACGAACGGCGGGAACAGCTTCGAGCACAGCGCCCTGATGTCTCGTTCTCTGAGATCACCAGAATGTTAGGAAACGAGTGGAGCAAACTCCCGGCAAACAATAAGCAGGTATGAGAATTGGGGGATGTGTACCAGGTCAATAATATCCTCGCTTCAGAATCACCCTCACAAGCACAGGTGCTAGAAGTGGCTTCAACACTTTACCCTGAAATAATTGTGTACAGTTGGTGCTTTTGTTGTTTAGATCACATCTGACACAACCTTCTTTGCGCAGATCAGTTCCTTTGGGATCAAGAAGAAATGCTATCAACTCAAAGAGAGATTTGGTTGTGGACCTTTTGTTTTTATTTTACCCTTCCAGAATGCCAACCTCCTGCTTCCCATTAAATATCCAGCTGTTCTTTAATATTTCCTTATCCTGGTTTCTACCACCATTCCTGGTAACTAATTCTAGCCGCTGATTACTCTTTGTTTTAAAAAAAACTTCCTGATGCCTGTCCTAATCATGCCTTTCACAGTCCTGAATCTGTGCCCTCTCATCCTGTATCTGAAAGTATTGTTAGGAACATAAGAATTAGGAGCAGGAATAGGCCATTCGGCCCCTCGAGCCTGGCCTGCCATTCAATAAGATCGGGCAGATCTTAATAATAATAATAATCCTTGCATTTGATATAGCGCTTTTCACGTCGGGAGGACGTCCCAAAGTGCTTCACAGAACACACTGTAAAGTGAATTGACTGTATATTTGTGGGCGAACGCGGCAGCCAATTGCGCACAGCAGTGTCCCACAAACAGTCGTAGATTGAAAATGACCAATTTATTATTGTTTTTGGTTTTGGAGGGATTATTATTAGGCTCTGTGTGGAGTAAGGAAACTTGCCCAAGGTTTCGCCCTGCCTGGAATTGAACTCAGGTCTCTCGCTTGCAAAGCGAGTGGTCTAACCACTGAGCTACAGGACTCGACCTAACCTAACTCCATCTGCCCAGCTTGTCCCCATATCCCTTAATCCCTCTATCCTTTAGAAATCTATCAGTCTCAGTCTTGAATATGTTCGAGGACTGAGCATCTACAGCCTTCTGTAAATTCCATAAATCCACTACTCTTTGAGTGAAGAAGTGTTTCCCCAACTCTGTTCAAAAGGGCTGACTCTTCATCTTAAGACTGTGACCCCTAGTTATAGATTCTCCTACCAGAGGAAACAGTCTCACACTGTCTACTCTGTCAAGCCCCATAAGAATCTTATGTTTCTATAAGATCACCCCTAATTCTTCTATATTCGAGAGAATATAGGCCTAGTTTACTCAACCTATCCTCATAGGTCAACCCCCTCATCCCAGGAACTAACCTGGTGAATCTACGCTGCACCCCCTCTAAGGCAAGTATGTCCTTTCTTAAATAAGGAAACCAAAACTGCATATAATATTCTAGGTGTGGTCTCACCAGGGCCTCGTACAGTTTCAGTAAGACTTCCCTACTCTTGTATTCTAACCCTTTTGCAATAAATGTCAAAATGCCATTAGCCTTCCTAGTTGCTTGCTGTACCTGTTGTTACCTGTTGTTCTGCATTTACTTTATCTATCCAATATTAAGCTTCTTGCATATTTCTGTAAATTTCCCTCTGACACGTCTGTTTTCCAGGGTAATAACTAGCCTTATTTTATAACCCTCTAACATTGCGACTCTCTGTACTGCCTCTAGGATTTTAATCTGTAATGTGTTTTTATTTCAGCAATAAGTGTGGACCAAATTTCAGACTGTTGCCAGTGCCTTATTAGTCAATGTTCCTGGTACCCAGCACCACCCTACAGATTTGTAATCAGTCAATAACCCTTTGAAATTTTCATTCATCTGCACTTACTTGTCCCCCAGTGAATAACTAATTGAGCTGAATCCCTATAAATAACTAATCCATTTGTACGTCTCCATGCTTTTTGTCTTCCAATGCATACTTGATCTTTCAGCATTATCCCCATAGCTGTGTGAATTCGTAATCAGTTTGTTTTATCTGCCCAGCATTATTTAGATGAGGCAGAGCGAGACAAAGAACGTTACATGAAAGAGTTGGAACAATACCAACAAACTGAGGCCTACAAACTCTTTAACCAGAAAGCAGAGGACAAACAGCATGTGAAAGACCTCATCCACACCCAAGGTAAATAACAATGGGACTGATATTTAACTCATCAAATGGTTTTTGAGATTCATCACTCGGGTAAAATTAACTCAGCAATATTTTTCCTGTAAAATCAAAATTCAGCATTTTGCCCTCTTTCCTTCTTTAGCTCAGTTTCCCAGATGAGGCACTTCACTCAGGTGGTGAAATACTTGGCTTCTAATTGGCATTCCATAAATAACCACTCTGAGTTGCTGGAGAGGAGTCTTAAGTTAATTCTTCCTTTGGTTTGTTTCCTTGTTTATGTGAAGGTACATTTCCTTCACTTGATTTTCCCCTTTGTCAGTACAGCTGAACTGGGCCTCACTGTACAGAAACAAATAATAGTAATGGTAATAATCATCACATTTTATATAGTGCCTTTCACATCAGAACGTTTCAAAGTGTAATGACCGTATTTTGTAGGCAAACATCCCACTGCTCTATGCACAAAACAAAAAATTCCACTAAGTGTAAAAATGTCACAATTTGCATATGCAAGAAGAATACCCCCATTAGAAAGGCACTTCGTCAAAGTCCCTGCACTCATTATGCGCTGTTTTAAAACTCAAGTCCATGATTGTGCACATCTTAATACATCTCCCAATTGGAAATGTTTTTTTATAAATAATGTGCTCTCGAGAACTGACTGCTCAATTGTTACATAAAGTAATTTCACCCACATATTTCACTGTTTAATAACTGTATTACTTCCCTTCCCATGTGTTCAACTAGTTCATTGCCACACATTAATTGTAATTTTGTAACTACTGTATTCTCCTGTTTAAACTTGTGTTAGGGAGCATGGTTCAGCAGGTGGGGGCACCTCTTCATGTTAGATTAATCAGTTTTAACCACTGGTTAGCACCAGGTCCATGATGCCAGTCTCTATCGATGAGCATATTTTGCTTGACTGTAGTGTCCCAAAGAATCGGCAAGGAATCTCCCTTCTGATCTAAATCTAGCACTTTTGGAATGTGTGTTGAGGGAGAAAGGGAGAAAACAAGATCAGACTTTATTTGATTGAAAGAAGGGTTCAGAAATGACACCCCACCCTCCCCTTTCCACTCCGCTGTCCAATATCAGGCCTGAAGAATAGATACCTAAGTGAGTAAGCAGAGATTTCTATGCTTCTTGATTCAGATGTAAACTTATATTTAGTTGTCTGATTGAGCAATTGTGTTTTACAATATTGAGAGCTGGCTTGTGATTGATTTCCCCACATGGGAAGCTCACTGGACTGCAAGTTTCCAGACCTCCTAACATCCAGTTAAGAGGTCTGAAGGAGGAAGAGGTCTCGGAGCAGATTCCCTGTCTGTTTGCTTAGCTCAAGAACAATGTGTTGAGCAAGAAAATCGCTAAAGAAAAGTGTATAAAATGGTTTTAAATTCCCACTCGTAAAGCACTCTGATGTCCTGTTCATTTGCAGTGCTTCTCTTAATACGTAAAGCAGGCAACATACTTCTTATATCCTCCAACTTCCTGCAAGTTGTGCATAAGATCTGATGTCATCATAGGATATGACAATACCAATATTAATTATAGAGCAGAAATTTGAACCAACAAATCCAGATGCTTGCATCAGCAGCTTTGCTGCCAGGTTAACATTCCACAGGATAGCTGAACTAGTCTTTCAGAGCCTATTAATACAGGAGATGGAGTGTGTGTGGGTGGGTGGGTGGGCATGGGGGGATGAGGGGTGTGGTGAGGATGGAGATTGTTCAGTTATTCAGACCACTGGTAGCCATTTTATAGATTCTCCCTGACATGACAGTGAACTGTACTATGTAAGCACAGATGGCAGTGAGAACTTTGCTGACATTCCAAAATAATTAATATTAATCTGCTTTATGTACTCCTGGTAATGGTTTTGCTAATGAGAGTAACTGCTTTGCTTTCCATATTTTACGTTTGGAAGAATTATTGCAATTTTAACTTGCATTTTTAATTTAAAATTGAGTTATCTGTATAAAATTGGATAACATTTATTTTGAAAGCACAGAGACCGATTTGCAAAATTTAATGAATGCATGATGATTCGGGCTTGTGCTTTGTGGTCCTGTGTGTTGTATGTGAATCAGTTGTTCCCACTACTAATGCTTGCAGTCACTTCTGTTTCCCTTACAGATGAAGGGTATGAGTCTGCTAACATTCCTGGAACTGAGGTAAAACCCTGTTTCTTAGTAAGGGCCTTTCAGTCCTATACTAATGTAAAATATCTACTCTTCCACTTTTACAAAGTGAAAACTGTTCCAGCTAAATGCATGTTTTGTCTAGGTTACTTTAGGTGTTGATCACATATCCCATTTATCTCTCCTCATCCAGAAGTGGATTCAGGCTTTGATGTTTTCTGATCAATACTACAAGAGCTACCTGTCAAAGTGCCACATAAATAAATTCACAAATGAATGAGAATTCCTCAATGATTTCTCAGTTTTGTTGGAACAGTGTTCAGTGGCAGGGAAGGGCTATTTTCCCACCCATTACCTTCGCTCCTCCTTCAGATGTTGCTTCCTGCTGAGGGCTGGTTTCATGAGGACCAGCTACCCTCTTAGTACCTCTCCCAAATAGTCATTCTGCTCGTGTGAGGCTGGACCATTACAGTATACAGCAAGATATGCATCCACAGAGGGCATCACAGCTGCACCCCAATCCTGTTCACACGCAGGCACTTTCAAGCGGTGGTGTAGTTCCAGATAATCATAAGCAAGGAAACCTGCCCACACCCCCACCCCCCCTCACCTTCCTTAGTCACACATACGTGTGTGAGAAATGGAAAACCTGCTTAACCTATTATTTGAAAACAACTAGACAATTTTTTATTCTCCTTTCCCATCTTCCTGAAATTGGTGATTCATGTATACAGTTCAAAGGTTACTCTTCCAGTATTCTTACTTCATCCAAGTAGGCTGTTCTCATTGTGTGAACCCAGGCAGTGAGTGTGGATTGCTCTCATCGCATATAATCCGAGGTCTGATCATTCTCTTTGCAGAAACAAGCTGAACTGAAGGATAATGCTGTTCTGGACATACCCATTTTCTCAGAGGAGTTCTTGGACCACAGCAAAGGTAAGAAGAGCAACTATGAAAGCCTGTACAACCTACTCCTTTGCTTTGCCAGTAAGAAATTACAGTCACAAATTGTGCATTATTATCACATCTGCATATTTCCAGCTATGTGTTATCTGCCTCATTAGTGGGCTACAGAGATTTGGGGAAAGAGCAAGTAAATTAGACTGAAAGGATTTCCTTTTAAAATAGCCAGCACAAACATCAGTATGAAGTCCCAGAGGTTTTTTGTACTTGTATGACTCGAGAGCTTTTATTGTTGGGGTTTCTTACCAGTTTTGAGGCTAGATTTTATCTGATTTTTTTTTAAAAAAAGTTTGCCCTTTTTCTGCTGTCCTCTCATGCTGGGGTAAACTTAAAATATGTTCAGCTGCCTTCCACAAAACCTTGTTCCAGTTTCTGATCTCAGTCCTGACAAATACAACCTCGGGTAATATAAATTAATTCATAACAGAGCAGGGATCAGAGCTGAGACCTTCCTGATCTGTTTGGATTAGTAGGAAATCGTGTGGTGCATTTTTCACTGAGACATAAGATATTTTCACTTTTACAATTCAGGACACCAGAAGATATGAGAAAATAAACAATACTTGAGTGTTCAAGAGATTAATCTCCAGTCTTGTGATTCAGTGTAATGTGCAGGGGATTCACTGCAGAAAACTGTCTCTAGATCTTTTTCTGGCAGATATGCTGTTCAAGCACTTATTCAACTCCATTGACGCTGGGATTAACAACTGGCCTGAATAGTTTTGTAGTGTGACAATCCTACACACATGCACACACTCACTCAGAAAGCTGACCTGGCACAATACTATTTTTGAACACCTTTCTTACACATCCAACCAATCATACATTTTAATAATTTTCCACAGCCCGAGAACAAGAACTGCGCCAGCTGCGAAAATCTAACATCGAATATGAAGAGAGAAATGCAGCTTTGCAGAAACATGTGGAGAGCATGAAGATGGCGGTGGAGAAGCTAGAGACTGATGTGATACAGGAGCGGAACCTCAAAGGGGTCCTTCAACAGCACCTTGAAGCCCTGCGGCAGGCACTGACATCCACGTTTGCCACTGTACCGTTGCCAGGTATGTGAGATCCTGACACTTGTGGGGTGGTGGGGGGAGAGGAGACTATTTCTCATAGTAGGCGCCTTCATATCATTTTGGGTCATATTTAAAATTATGCAGTATTTTGAAATCTTCTTAAATTCAGGTTTAATTTGCAAGTCTTTAAGAACTGCAGAAAATTGGTTTCCAAATTATAATTCAATTTAAGAATTTTCTGAAATTTGGCATGATCTTACATTTTCAGACAATGGTGTTAGCATAAGACCGTGAGGATTATCAGGCTTCTCATGTCCTTTCATTGGCTCAGTGAACAACATAGTATTGAGCTGGACCGCTCAGGAATATCCCTGGTTCGTGCTGGGTTACCTTGTGCGGTGGTGAGGGATACTTGAAGAAACATTCTTTGTGCTTAGAGACCCATATTTCAGCATGAAACAGTGCATTCAAGGCAACAAGGAATACAGAAGGGAAGAATATAAACTGAACAAGATTTAATAGATTGTTAGTATGCAGGCATGATGTGCTAATTGTGCACAACCACCACATACTTTCAGAAAAATATGCCAAGTGATCTTCAAAGAATATTTTTCCTATTTATTATGTACAGATTTTAATAGAACTGGGAAAACATCTTCAAATTAACATATGCCCTCATGGCACATTTTTTTTATATAGGGAGTGGTGAGACTCCTACGCTGGACACCATTGATTCCTACATGAGGAAACTGCACAGTGTTATTCTGTCTAGCCCCCACGACAATGAGAATCTCATTGCTACAGTGCGCGATTTGGTGAGCCGACTTGACAGGTACGCAAGCAGCTTCCGAATATCTGTTGCATCCACTTAGTTAACTCCACTTCATTCCCTTCTCTGCACCCTGTGAAATCATTGACAAGAAGTGGGAAAGTCTGTAGTATTATTTAATAGTCAAATCAGATCTATTCGTGGAGTCCTGTAGCTCAGTGGTTAGAGCACTCGCCTTGCAAGTGAGAGACCTGCGTTTGATTCCCGGCAGGGCAAGTCTTCTTACTCCACATGCCTCTGCTTACCTAGCAGTAAGTAGGAACCCGGTTGTTAGTCGATTGGCAGATCGCTTTTCCGGGGATAATAATCCCTCGAAAAAAAATAATAATTTAGTCACTCAATCTAAGACTATTTGTGGGACACTGCTGTGCGCAATTAGCTGCTGCGTTTCGCCCACAGATATACAGTCAATTCACTTTACAGTATATTTTGTGAAGTGCTTTGAGATGTCTGGAAGACATGAAAAGCGCTATATTAAATGCAAGGGTTATTATTCAGTCAATTGATTTGACTAGATATTTGTTCAATGTAGTTATAGAGCAAGAAAATAAACGCTTCATGGAACATTCTGAGAAATACCCAAAAATAGTTTTTCAAGACTAGAAGACTTGAAAACTATATGATTACAGAAATACATTCACATTGGGAGACGCAAGACTAGGTTAAGCCAAAATAACTCTGGTGCATTAGTTTAGAAGTTTGTGGATAAAACCTCCAGTTTAAAAAATGAAAAATGGCTGAGTAACTTGAGTTAATTCTATTCTATTTCTTACCTAGTTAACCATAAGGTGATTACCATTTAAAATATTTATCTGCTTGTGAGCATTCAAAAATCAGGTTCATTTCTGTAATATTATTTGATTATGGACTCTCTTGAGTTTTGTTTTTATTTAGCTTACAATACCATTCTAGACAAGTACAGAGGATTGAACTTTGATAGTTCTGTTCTGTTATTTTGCAATATCCAACCAAATTGATCTCTCTTGCTTTAAAATGGTTTTATTCTTAACAGAAATATTAGAAATATTTGCATGTTTTCATCTGGTTTCTTTTCAAAACATAGCCAAAAAAGCATTGCTCAGAATGGACTTTTTGACCGATGACATAGAAAGGATATAAAATCTAAACATTTCCATGCTGCTTGAAGCATTAAAAACTGTGCAGTAGAATTCTTTGTAGATTGATGAAGCAACCTTTTGAATGTGCTTTCTCCTCTTTCTTACCCTCCACTGTCAGGTGCAGTTGAATCAGTCCTTTTATCAGGGATATTGACACCAGGTCAAACGGCTGATACATTGCAAGCTAGAGGACCCTGCCTAGATTTGCAACGGGAATGAAAGAAATATCAGCTACTGCTTGAGGCCTTGGAGTTGGGCCTGAGAAGAACTTTATAAACCACATATCCCACCTAGTCCTGCTGGACTGAAAGCTTGTTGTTCTGCAGGGGGATTCCTGCGTCTTATTATCCAGAAGAATGGACATCTTCTAATTCTACAATTTGACTGAAGTCAAATGTTTCTGTACTACTATGTGATCTTGTAATATTGGAGGCCTTGATTGCTTATCACCAAAATCATCCACTCACTTAATAGCTTTTTTTTTTTACCTTCCTCATTAATGATTTGAAAGCAGCTTCTGAGTGAAGCTGGTTAGGACTTTTGAATAGGGGGCTTTTGGAAAGTAGTGTAGTGCAAATGGAAAGCTCATGTGAAAGTGACCATTCTTGCACTATTAGAAAATGTCCTGGCCCCAAAACAAACCCATGGGAAAACAAAAGATATTGCAGAGTATCTAAGCTATGAGTCACAGGCAGCCTGAGGGAATATATTCATCTGCCAGTCACAGCATTAACATGTGAAACACCATAAATCTTTAGCTTCAGGGAATCTATTTTCAGTTCCGTCACTCTGTTATTTAAATGACGTGTGTTTAATATTTTGGGGTGAGAAAGGGATAAAGAGAAGTGGCTGGATACCTCAGTTGTACTGAGACTTGACACTATAATTAGTTTGTGAAAAGATACAGTGGAGCCTTTAAATTGTACTTGGGTGTTCTCAGTGGACAGTTGAAGTCTAACCAAGAAGGCTCATTACCAGGCTCCAAGTGTGGTTTCCACTGCCATTTGTAGTTGCTGTTTGGTTACACTGTGCATCAGATTGCCACCGCTTTTGCGGCCAATTCTAAGTGATGCATAATATAACCAGTGTTTATTTGATGTGCTTAAAACACCAGTCACCATCCCAGCAGCTCTCTGTATTTAACCCTTTCAGAACCTAAACCATTCATAAAATTCTGCAAATATAATTCGCTACCAGTTTCCAATCTTGAATATTATGAAACAGAATTTGAATGCTTTACAGAGTTGTTGAGAACTCCTTAATTCATGCTTTTGGCCTGGAGGCCAAAAACAATCCACTGTCCATCACGTCCTTTGTGCACCCCTTCAAGCTTCCTCTATCCTCACATCAAACATCAAGTGCAAAGAGGTCCTAGACTCCCTGCTGGCCAACATGGTCAACCACTATTCCACTCCCACTTAAAACCGCTGTTATCACACCGCTCCTCAAAACCCCCACCCTCGATCCCTCTAACCTCTCACACTACTGTCCCATTTCCAACGTGCCCTTCCTTGCCAAAGTCCTGGAATACGTTGTTGCAGGTCAACATTGGTCACACCTCTCCCTTCTCGAGCTCCTGCAGTCTGGTTTTCACCCTGCCCGCAGCACAGAGACAGCGCTTGTCAAAATCACAAACAATGTTCTTTCTATCTGTTACCAAGGTTCCCTCTGCCTCCTTGTCCTGGATCTCTCTGCTGTGTTCAGCACAGTCGACCATGCCATCCTCCTCCACCACCTCTCGTCCCTCATCTACCTTAGTGGGACCGCACTCGCATGATTCGAGTCCTACTTTAACCAACCACCTCCACTTCATCTCAGCAAATGGTTTCTCCTTCCGCCCCACCCAGGCACTTGTGGGGTAAGCCAGGGCTCCATTCCTGGCCCCCTTCTTTTCCTCATCTACATGTCCCCCGTTGGGATGTCATTCGCAGACAGGGAGTAAACATCCACAGGTATGCTGATGACGCACAAATCTACTTTTTCCTCCTCCAGCTGCAATTCCATGTCTGCCGATGTTCTATCAGCTTAGCTGGTAGACATCAGGGCCTGGATGAATGCAAGCTTCCTACAGTTGAATGTGGACAAGATGGAAGCTATACTCCTTGGCTCCCATCAATGTCTTCTCACCTGTGGATCTGACCTCCTAATCCTCCCCAGCCTCTCCCTCAGACTCACCGAACCAGTGCGCAATCTCAGCGTCTGGATCAACCCCTAGCTGTCCTTCCTTCCCCACGTCCAATCCCTTACCAGGAAGCCTTCCTCCACCTCCGCCATATTGCCCGCCTCTGACTGCACCTTACCTCAAATGGAGCCAAAACCTTCGTGCATGCGTTTGTCACCTCCGCCCTGGATTACTCAAACACAACCTAGCTGCACTATTCAAAAAATCCAGCTCATTCAGAACTCTGCTACCTGGATCAAATTCTGTACCCTACCTCACTAGTTCTGGCCAGGCTCCACTAGTTCCCCATTACCGAACTGATCGACTTCAAGATCCTTGCACTTGTTTTCAAATCCCTTCCCTCTCTGGCACCTCCCTACCTCTCCGACCTCCTCACTCCCCAATCCACTACCTGGCACCTCCGCTCGACTGACACCGGCCTCCTGCTTGTCCCTCGCGCCCTCCGTTCCATCATTCGAGGTCCCGTATTCAGTCACGAAGTCTTAAAACTTTGGAACACTCTCTCTCAATCCCTTGGCCTTGCCCCTCCCCTTTTTCAAGTCCTGCCTGACTGCCTGAAAACCTTCCTTTTCAACCATGCTTACAGTCACCCCCACTCACCCCTACCCTACCACCCCCCCAGCTCGAATTCAGGCTCCGCCACTATTAAGCGCTCTGAGATGCTACCCTGGGTGGAGGGCGTATATAAGTGCAAGTTGTTGTATTCTAGAACAAGCCTATTCATCAGTAATTGCTATTTGCGAATATCTGTGGTGCTGCAGAACTGCTGCTGCTCTTAAGTGGAAGGCATTGAGACAAACATATACTACTGGCAGCATTAACCAGATTAGTGAACTGAAACCAACTGAGCCACAAAAGACTTTCACATAAAACGCTGATCAGTGGGCGCTGTCTGATCAGCTCTGCTGCAGTGAACCTTCTGTCACAGGGAGGCCTGGCACAAGGTACAAGATGGGAAAGAAAGTATAAAATGTCACTCCAATAACTGAGCTGGATAGACCAGGAAGATGCTTTGGTCTGTGGTGAATCAGTTAATTTCTGACTCCGTATTTGGGGCTACAAATGCACATCAGTGCCTGCCTGATGTATTAGGGAGGGGGAAATCAGCTAGGGTTGATCACAACTAGTTGACCTTCACTGCTGGAAGGTGCATACAGGTGCTGAAAGCATATTTAATAATATTCCTTGCATTTGATATAGCACCTTATCATGTCTTCTACATGTCTCAAAGCGCTTGGTGAAGTTAGGATCAGGGGTTGACTGTAAAGCCCCATCATCAAACAGCTTGCTAACACTCGTATTCAAGGCTGACACATGAAGAATAGCTGCTTGGATGCATTACTGATAAACACTTGTGTAACTGTTTCCAAGAAAAGAAGGGAAAGTTAGAGAGAAAGGAAATAAAACATGACTCCTTGGTACGAGAGCTTGAGTTTCTGATGTACAGTATACATGGTGAGGAAAGGAATAGGAATAGCTAGGAAATAATAATAATACTGTAAATCTAATATATTTGAATCTTCAAATTTCACTCACATGGCCTGTACCACCAACTCTGTAACTATTATTCCTATTTAGTGAATGATATGTTTCAGAACAGATTTGACCTATTTATCCAACTTGTGTTGGGAATGCACATTGGAATATTACATATGTGCACGTGTTGCACAAAAGCTGTTAGAGCTGTGCTGAATAGTTCACTTACAGAAAGAGCAAGGAATGGGTGTATAAGGCAATGGTTTTGTCTGTAACTGGTGCAAATGATGAATAAACTACATGATTTGGGTAGATTTGCTAAACACTGGGATTGAATTACAGGTTTTCACTCCCTCCTTCACATGTAATTTTCAAAATTCTTCCCTGTGAAGGCTGAATGAGAAATGCTATATGTCATTTCACACTGAGACAAACAGATCAAGGCAGTCCTAGATTTGATTCCAAGTACGTGTTTCAATGGGGAGTGTCTCGAGGCTGGGAAAGGAGAAAATCAGCCACAATTCCTACTGTTTGGCAATCCCTGTTGGAACTACATGCTTAGTGAGCACAGGAATTGCCTTAGGTCCGAAGCCTCAGGGCAGACAAATAGCCATGAAATGTGAAGAATGACCACACACTTAAGTGACCAAAATGCCTACTGCCACAGTGCATCAATCCTGCATGAGTCGCTGCTTTCAAGAGACGAAGGTTAAAGGGACCAGATTGGACTTGCTGCTAAGGACATACCCCAAATAGTTTTCCATGTAATTTTCATCCTTCAGAAGTACAAATCATTTTCCATTTCCATAAAACTGTCCTCACTTCCACATTCACTTGAAGGCTTTATTTCAGAGGATGAAAAGAATGGATATTTAAGTCTCACAATTCTCTTATCAATGACTGATCATTGTACACCTTTCTTGTGGCAAGACTTGGTCTCTGATTCAGCTGTCTTAAGTGTGTTCAGAATACTAATGGGAATCTTCAAAGGACAAAATATGGATGTTGCTTTGAAAACTTATTCCTTTATATCCTGAAAAACTGCATCTCTGAGATTTGTTTTCCAAAACAAAACAATAATAAATTGGTCATTTTTAATCTACGCCTGTCTGTGGGACATTGCTGTGCGCAATTGGCTGCCGCATTCGCCCACAAATGTACAGTCAATTCACTTCACAGTGTGTTCTGTGAAGCGCTTTGGGACATCCTCCCGACGTGAAAAGCGCTATATCAAATGCAAGGATTATTATTATTATTATTATTATTATTAGACATACAAACTGTTGCTGAGGAAACCTCATGCTTTTCATAAATTGTCCTAAAATTTGTTACAAAATGCAGCAGGCTCATAACATTGTCAGTAGATTGGATGCAGATTAGATGATATTCTGGAATGTTTTTTGCTGCATCAGCACAGAATATCTATTACGCAGTGCAGTGATAGAATAAGTTCATGTGTTAAAAACAGAAGTTCAATAAAATATTTATGAAAGCTAACGCCTCTAATATTTTTGATAATCTGTCTCACTCTAAGGAAATGTGGTCAGAAAAAAGCCTGTACAAAACCAGTTTGGGTTCCCTCAGGATTCTTGCTAATTTTTATATTCCTCCCCGCCAGAGAGGGCTGATGAGAGTCGCATTTATCCATGGAAGTAACGAGAGGATAATTGAAAATCGCTCCAAGGATTTTTACTCAATTTTGTGGCCAAGGACCACAGAGAATCAACTGGTTTGGTTTTGAAGTTCTGTTTCATTGGATTCTTTTTAACAAAAATGCTGGCATTGCTATTTAGAGTTTGAATCAGACGACTTTATGGAAGATGAAAACTTCTGCTGGATGTCATTACCTCAAACCCAGGGTTTTCAATCAGAATCGTAACTTAGTTCCTAAGACCATGAAATCTTCATCTGAACCCATAGTTCATACAGTGACGACCATCACTGCTTTCAATTTGATTATTTGTTAAAATGTAGAGTGATTCCTGGTCTGTGCTGATAAAGCTGATTATAACCAGAACAGCAGTTGGGGCTACACCTGTGCTAGTGAAGGCTACAGCTGCTGTAAAAATATTCTTTCTGGTGTCTGCCCTAAATTTGTCCTTCACACCCTGATTCCGTGATTGCTTGATAGCTGCTCATTGCAGCCCATCAGAGATGGAGACGACTGATAATGGGCTTTGTTAAATATTTTGTAACCTTTTAAATCTAAATCTGGTTGTAAGTATACTAATGATGCTTGTATAAACACTGTCACAAGGTCCTGACTGTGGGTCTTGTTGCCAAGCCTGTACATATAAAGCGTTATTGATGCATTTTGAAATGTTTTTTTGTCTTCAGTGACAATCAAACCAGTGGCTGTATTTATAAAAAGAAACTATTTCTTTGCACAAGTACTGCATTCACAGTGTTGCCTGGACATTTCTGTAATGTTAGTCACTGTGCCTCCAACACTGAAGTCCTGTGATTACCATGTGAGAGAAGCACCATCAAGTTTGTACTTCTTTTGATCTTCTTTCAAATGGGATCTTAAGGGAACAGTGGCTATTTTAACTCCACTCCAAAACAATATTCTGAAAGTAAATTCTCTTTACATACACAAATTTCTTTACCTGTGTCTTTTTTTCACTAAACATAGTGTTGAAATTTGTGGTGATTTGTAATGTGTTGGATGTGATAACTATCACATGATGCATTATGAAACTGCACTAACATCTTTTAATGCTGCATTCACATTACACCACATCTCCATCCTGCTTGCTGAGATCACAGGAGACTGCGCCATGAGAATTTTAGAATGGGCATTCCCTGGGAAGCTACCTTTGTGCCAAGGTCATGGTTGTGGCGGTGGTGGTGGGGAGTAAGGAGTGAGAAGAGAAGATTGGCAGCTGAAAATCAAAATAGCAGCTACAGCCTGCCAACTAGGATTGAGACAGAGCTGTGATCCAATGTGATTGCAACTTGGCAAAACTTACTGAAAGAACAGGAAGAAACTAGTGATATTTCGTAATGCAAACAGCCATTTGGCTCAAGTGAGCATCTGGTTTTCTCTGCCTGAGCCACCTAAGCTAATCACACTGTCCTGTTGCTCCCATAAATACAATAATTTATAATGTTTCCTTTTCAAGCATCTGTTGAATTCACTTTTAAAAAGAAATTATGGACTCTTGCCACAACAATGGTGTGTGACTGAGATTTCACATTCCAACCACCCTCTGTGTAAAGAAGTACCCAATCCTCTTTCTATAGTGACTTGGCATGTTTTCCTTCTCTAATCATTCTCAATTTGTGATGAGTTCTTGAATGCCAGTTCCCCCATCGTAATCTGGGAGCTCGCTGATTTTTTGAAAGTGAACATTAATATTGTGCTACCTGGTGAAACAACCATGTTAAAGATTTAAAAGTTGAGGAATTTATCATTATCTGTTTACCAGCTGTTCATTATACAGTTACAAAACCATGTGAAACTGCAGTATATGGGCCAGAGGATTGCTGGAAAAGAAGACCACGTTCTTTCATTTGTCCTTCCCAATCTCTGGATTCAATTCTTAAATCAAAACACTAAAGTTGATTTTGAAATCTTGTTTTTTTTTAAAAAAAGTAAATAACACTCCATTCGGGAATGATTTGATTAAATGGAATTGTATTCTTATGTTATTGATGCTTGTTACCTGTGCTTTCCAATATAATAATTTATAATTGCCTGTACACTGTTTAAGGACTTGGGTTGTAAAATAATGGCAGTACTCTGTTTTCCTCAACTTGATGACTTGAGGTTAAGTTGCACATAAAAGATGCAAAACTACTTGACCAGTAGCCAGTTATTTTAATCAAAATCTTCTTAATTTAGTAGCACCAGCCTCTTGCTTGAAAGACCCCTCATGGACCACAATTGATAAAAAAGTGGTTGAGCACATGAACTGCGACCTGTCTTCTAACCAGGCTTCATTCAATCAAGTTAAGAAAAGGCATAGACTGCTACAGCACAAAAACATGTCTGGTGTTTTTCTCAACGTGAGCCATCCTATCTAATCACATTCTCTTGCTTACAAACCTTTAATGTTCTTCCACTTCAAGCAACTAACTAATTCCTTTTTTAAAATAATTTATGGATTCTGCCCCAACTACATTTTACACCAGACGGTTCCACATTCTTACCACCCTCTGCATCAAGATTTTTTTTCTAACCTCCCCTCCTTTCTGAGATTATCTTAAATGTGTGCCCTTTTATGACTGACTCACCAACCATTAAATATAATTATTATTATTGCCTCTATTACGCTTATCCTAAACCTTCACAATCTCGAAAACCTCTATCAGGCCACCGCTTAGTCTTGTCAGCTCTAGTTAGAGCAGCTCTAATTTCTCAAGTCTCTCTTCCTACTTAGTGAATCTATGCTGCATCTTTTCTACTGTTTTTCAAACACCTTAGGATCTCGTATGAGCAATTCTGTTTCCCTGCCAATCCTACATAAGAGACTACTAAATTAAACTACTGGTAACTAACTTCTACTTGAATAGAGATTATTTAATTTTGTGGAGTCCTGTAGCTCAGTGGTTAGAGCACTTGCTTTGCAAGTGAGAGACCTGAGTTCAATTCCAGGCAGGGCGAAACCTTGGACAAGTTTCCTTACTCCACACGCCTAATAATAATCCCTCCAAAAACAATAATTAAATTGGTTATTTTCAATCTACGACTGTTTGTGGGACATTGCTGTGCACAATTGGCTGCCGCGTTCGCCCACAAATATACAGTCAATTCACTTTACAGTGTGTTCTGTGAAGCGCTTTGGGACGTTCTCCCGACGTGAAAAGCGCCTCATCAAATGCAAGGATTATTATTATTATTAAGAGGGGCAAACATATAACAACAACAAGTTGCCTTTCCCACGGGGTATTCATCTCGGAGCCTATATCTCTAACAGGATTGTTCCTCATGTGTGCTGCAAGGATTAGAGAAAGAATCATAATAAATCTCCGTTTTCTTTTCTGTTTTAGTTGTGCTCATCAACAGAAAGAATATTGAGGCTGAGGAATTGGAATTTTTTTATTTTTGCTTCCTGTGTCAGTGTCACTCATTTCCAGGTAGGAATATGGGTTGGATGGAGGGTACATTTTATGTTTTGTTGTAATATGGACAATTTAATCCCCCAAAGTGTTTGACTTGTGTTACATTTGTTTGATTTGTGAGAATTGTAGGGTATTCTTAATTGGCTGATGGACAATTTGTCTGAAGTTGTTACTAAAACATGAATAAAGAATCCTCTACAGCCAATGGGATAACCTTGTCAGCTATCACCTGGGCCAATAGAAAAGTGCGGCAGCATTTTTTTCTTGCGGAATCCGCTAAAAACAGCACCTTCCCTTGTAAACCCGCTAAAAATATAGTTTCTGCTCCGCGCTGCTGCAGGGAGGCTAGAGCAATGCAGAGTAACGGACCTGCGAGAGACCAGGCACCAATACTAACAACGAGAGACAATCCCAACATAACTGCGTGCAAAGTGGCTCTGCAAATTTTTCACATTTCCCTGCAATTTTTGACAAATATTTCCGCACTTTTCTATTAGCCCAGGCTATCACTGTGCTCCCTCTAAGTGAGGCAGCCAAGACAGCACTGGGATTATAAAGCAGGTTTATGCTTCATAGGATATTAGAGTCAGAGGGGATCTCAGAGATACAAAACTGTCTTTGGAAGGGGAGGGAATACAGGAGATATAGAGGAAAATATTGCGATCTAGGTTGATTGAGATTAATTGTTCTTTTCTAGTTCAACATTAAAGAGAGACAAAACCTTAAGGGGATTATTAAAAAGAAGTTGTGAATAAAAGAACTCTTGGCAACTCCTAATGAGATAAATCCGAAGGAAATACACAAGGAGAAGGATGCTTGTGTTACATCTGACAGATGCATTAGTTAGGGCATTGATGTATTGAACCTATTGATTCTGGGGCCCGGAATCCTTCATGTTCTCAGCCTTAATATTTAAAATTGTACAGAATTGTGAAATATTAAATTCAAATTTAATTGGGAAACCGATTTTCTACTGTAGATAGTGAAAAGCCAGGTCCTATTAATATTGAGTTACGAATTTCTTGAAATCTTGCATGGTCTTTAAATAAGACCTATTCTGGTTGTTTTGTGAATACTGAAACCACAATAAAATTAAACATATGAATAGTATCAATTGCTGAAAGATAATGTTTTTCAATCTTTTCTTTTTACCCTTTTCTCTTGGGTCCCTCCGAAAGGATTGGATAGGTATCTAGTTGAAAACAGCATTGAAGGTTATTGGGTTAGGTGCAGACTGAGTTGAACAAAAATTAAGAATTTTTAAGTGGAATTCAGTTTTTTCATATGTGTGTATGTGTTTGTATGTATGTATATGTGTGTATATGTATGTATGTATGTGTGTGTGTATGTATGTAAGTAGATGTGTGTATGTATGTGTATGTAAGTATGTAATGTGGAGTCCTGTAGCTCAGTGGTTAGAGCACTCGCTTTGCAAGCGAGAGACCTGAGTTCAATTCCAGGCAGAGGGCGAAACCTTGAGCAAGTTTCCTTACTCCACACAGAGCCTAATAATAATCCTCCAAAACCAAAAACAATAATAAATTGGTCATTTTCAATCTACGACTGTTTGTGGGACATTGCTGTGCGCAATTGGCTGCCGCGTTCGCCCACAAATTTACAGTCAATTCACTTTACAGTGTGTTCTGTGAAGCGCTTTGGGACGTCCTCCTGACGTGAAAAGCGCTATATCAAATGCAAGGATTATTATTATTATTATTAATGTATTTATATAATGCCTCCACCCTTGACTCCAGGACCACTGCTGTCCTGACAGAATGTCTGTGAGACATCAAGTCCTGGATGAGAGTTAATTTTCTTCAGTTGAACATCAACAAGACCAAAGCTCTACTGATTGGTTCCCGTCAGTGCCTCTACACCTCAGGCGCTGACAGCATCACTATCCATTGTTGCACACTCCACCTTACTGAGCCAGTCCAGAACCTTGGCGTCTTGTTTGACCCTCAACTATTTTTCTACCCCACATCTGCGCCATGACCCATTCCGCCTTATCCCACCTCCACAACATCGCCTGGCTCCACCACTGCCTCACACCTCTGGCTGCCGAAATCCTCATACATGTTTCATTACATCGAGGCTTGACTATGCAAACTCATTGCTTCTAGTCCTCCCCAACTCCTTCCTCCATAGGCTGCAGGTCATTCAGAACTCTGAAGCTCACGTCCTCTCCCGCACCAGGCTCCATGGCCCTATTACCCCTATCCTCACCCAACTCCACTGGCTCCCCATCACACAGAAGATACAGTTCAAGATCCTGGTCCTCACCTTCAAAGCCTCCATGGTCCTGCTCCCTCCTACCTCTGCAACCTCCTAACCCCCTACCATCCTGCTCGCTCCCTCCACTCAGCAGGCTCCGACCTGCTTCACGACCCCGCCTCGCTTGCCCCACTATTGGTGGGCAGGCCTTCTGCCACTCTGCACCCACTCTCTGGAACTCCATCCCGCAGTCCCTCCGCCTCACCCCCTCCCTTGCCTCTTTCAAGACCCATCTCAAGACCCTCCTCTTTGACCGTGCTTTCAATCTTCCTGCTTCTCCCACTACCATCCATACTCCCCAACCCTGACCACCAGCTCGGGTCCGAACCTCTGTCTGTTGAGCACCTTGGGATATTCTCCCAACATGAAAGGTGCTCTACAAATGTAATTTTGTTGTTGCATGTGTGCATGCATGCATACATACTTACATGCATGCATGTATGTGGAGACCACATGACCATATTTTATGTCATTTTATGTCCGAAACTCACCAATGAGTGTGAGTAGGGAACACAATCCAGTAATGAACCTGTCCTCACCAGGCAGTTGGACTTTCCAGCATGGAATGGCTGGAATTGTATAGTTACAACCCAATTGAGATTAGCTAATTCAGCATAGTCAACACAGTTTCCTTATATGGGTGGGACAGTTTCACACAAGCCATTGGTTTACCCACAGAACCATCAGGAGAAGCCTAATGTATTTTTGAAACTACATCTGCACAGCTGCATTGAGCCTGATGTTAGTTCCTGCCTTTCTGTACCAGCAATATTTCACATTCCAAACATACAAATAGCTTAATACCACCAGTGGGAAATTGAGAAATTTAAATGGGTTGTTGCCAGGAACAGTGCTGGAGACATCTCAAAACTATGCTTTGTCTCGCTCATCAATCGTACAAATGCCACGTTTTGTTCAACTCACCTTGCCTCTGTTTGGTGCAATGAGCACAGCTCAGGATATTTTCGAACCCAACAAACAGAACATGGTTTACTGAGAGGAAGGAACGCAACACATGAGACTGACAGCTAATTCCAATTTTGCATTAAATGGAAGCAAAATATGCGGATATGCTCAGTAAACTCTGCCTTTTCCTTGCTGTAAATCCAAGACTTGTTTCACTTATGAATTGGGAGATTATATTTGCACATCCTCTAAGAGTTCAATGTCAAAAAACAGCTTTAAAATGAACAAGGAATGCAGCATTTGGAATTTGTAGTTTTCTATGTCGACATTTTTTATCTTTCCTTATACGTGTGGGACTACATTTATTAGCTTACTTGTGAAGTGCACTGTCCAAAGTGAACTGAACCCTACAGATCAAGAAAGCCCCTGATTGGGGTTCCTGATATTTGTTGAGTTAGGTGATCTCGCAGCAGTGCCTCACATCCCTGGGTAAGGAGGAGGGAAATCAGTAAGTGTCCCTCTTCCTGATTGCTATCCAAAACCCTTGCTGCAACCTATATGTCATGAGTACAGGATCAGGCAGGGAGGCAGACTGTTCACATGCACTACTCCTGAAGAACAACTATTGGGTTTTGTGGAATTGTCCCCAGATGAGCTAGGACCTTCAGGGGACGAAAAGGGAAGAATATTGGCAAAAAAAATTCAGATAGGACTTGAGTTTTGAACAGCGGACATAGTGACCCTGAACATCTTGGAGCCTGTGTAAGTAATTGCCCGCACCCAGTTCCTGTCCTTGTGCTCTGCTTTCCTGCATTTCTGTTGAACTGAGATTTTTACTGTTACATTTTCCTTCTCCAGGAAGCTGTTTAACCAGAGAGATGAAAAGGCAAAACTGCAGGAAACCTCACAGGACCCATGTATCACAGGCTTGACACTGCCTCGCAGCACATGAGGATGTTTAAGTCATTCCAGGCGGACGTGCCCTGTCGATTTTAAACCGACTCAGTTTCCGTTGGCAAAAATAACCCTGTTCGTTCAGCCCGAATCACTTCTGTTCTGTGCCTGACTCAGAATCCTGTGAGCTACACCTCATGGAACTGTTCTTCCAAGGACACAGTTTAACCCGTGGAAAGCCCCTTGTGATATTCTGCTATCAGTTGGTCTGAAAGGACGAATGGTTCGTTCTTATTCAAACTGTTGGGGAAAGGCATGTTTCACCCTGGCTTAATAGGTAAATACATTGTCGTATTGTCAGCCTCTTGGGATCAGAAGGAGGGGGAAGCAACCCATGTTCCCTCCCAATGACTCTGCAGTGAGCCCTGTGAAGTGACAGTGCTGGGTGAGGACAGGATCAGGCTTACTGTGTTGCTTACTGTCAAGGCTCCCACATGAATAAATGTACCACAGGACATCCAGCTCCTGTGGAACTGTAAAAAGAAAAGAAAGTCAACATGCCTACAGAAGAAGGGGAGAAAATTTGTCATGAGTGAAAAATGAAGGGATAAAAACCTTTTTTGGGTGGTGGAGTGAGTTATGAAGCTGACCTTTCACCTCCAAGGGTTCAAGCCAGATAGATAGATAACCAAAGCCTTTTCTCTGATAGGGCCTGGGTGGTGCAATGCATCAGAAGATTGTATTTCACCTCTGGGATCCTGGAATCTGGCCCAGACAGAGGAGATAAAATTCTTCTCTCGGTGATATAGGACTGGATCTTGTCGTGCGTCAGTCAACTGATCTTTGACCTCCAGTCCCTGAGCTGGAATCCAGCCCAGACCAAAGAGATGAAAGTTTCCTTTCTATGATGAGTGGTAAGTTCCAATGCAAATATAGTCCAAGCGCAATCTCAACCCTGTTTCTTGTCGATGTGAATCAAGAGCGCAAAGTACCTTGTAGTTTGACAATAAGTGAGCAATCTCACTCATGCCTAATGT